GGGCTGATATTATCGATAATCGTTATCGATAATATATGAATGCCAAAAAGTGACGCAACTTGGACAGCAGAACAATACGTTTATGTTAGGGATGCACAATGATACTGGAATCATATCGATATTTTAAACTGATATTTGATGACGCATTTACTTTACGCTGGAAGAGCACCATTAATGTTTCTGCGACGCTGGCTGCACTACAGCAGCACAGCTAAAATGTCTCCCACATCACTGTGTACACAAGCAAAACTGGCTGCTACTCAGGTAGCTCCATACATAAATAGGATGTTTGATAGCTTAAATCACTACCAGCATTAAAACTAAGAAGCTTTAGTTGGCTTCTTCGCCAGCTTTTTGTTTGAATTTTCCTATTCCACCTTAAGCAGTAGTTACATCCTGGTGCCCAAGGCACCGGCAGGGAGAGCCAATAAAAGCTAGGCTCAAGTGTACTTTTACGCTTGTATAAACTGAATAAAACAAAGTGTTCAGCATCACCTATGCTTGTTTACTGCCTTTTCACAAACTGGCTGTTTCCAAGCTGAAAAAGACTAGAACAGTAACATTAGCATTTGTCTGTTTACCTAGAAGACTGGCTGCCTTTCTTTGTGTAAACTTCAAGTCACATGTGATCTACTGTGGCCTTCTATGGTCTTGATATGGCTTTAATTTAATGTAGTAATGGTAAAATGCTGCATGGCAGAAGTTGCAGAAGACAGTTTTGCATGCCCAAGATGTAAAGATATGTACATATAAAATATCGAATTTCGGCACAGGCCCAGAACTCTCGTATCGGGGCATCCCTAGTTTGCATGACATGTTTGTTTTTACAGTTTATTTTTTCAGTTTTTCAGAGACAAAAACATGTCATGGGAGCGTATTCTGTTCATGAATCAGAAATGAAGGAGGCTGGGTGTACATGCTGAGGACTGATGTCCTGTTTACCGAGAATTTCATGGCAAGTACGAACGCGTGCATCTTAGTAAAGCACCGTTTAAAGGCTGCCAGCGTGAATGACGCAAAGCTGAACATTATTGGTAAAAATTTCCTGGTAACGTCCCAGGTTTTATGTGTCAAAAGAGCTTAAAGGGAAAGAAAAGAGAAAGACATAGATGAGAGAGAGGAATAGGAGAAAAATAAAAAACTGCAAAACACATCCAGTGATGTACCCATATCCTTGAGCTGTACAATGTTTTCTCTAGTCTTTTAAAGTCCTTAGAGATTATAAAAGTCCTGGCATCTCACACTAAGCAACTGGCTTCAGCAGATTTCTTTGAGCGACTGAAATATTGGGCATCACGCACTACTCAACTTTTAAGTTGTTGCTGTACAAGCCTAAACTCACATGTTCTCCCATTACTAGGCGAAGCAAATAAACAAATATGGAGCAGCTGGCTTCTTGGTGTGGTAGTTTTTAGAGCTTTTGATGTACATAAACTCGACTGTGCTTGTGTCTTAAACTCAGCTCATTAAAAAGCTTCGCTACACATGAAAGTGACTTTTCGCCATTTTTCTTTTCATTTTCTTTTGTTTGGGTCTCTTCATTGGTCCTTTCATTGGATGTGAGAGGAGTCCATTCAGTTTGAGTCACTGGCCAGTATAATCCTCTAGATTTTGCTCAGAGTTGGGTAGAAATTTGATATTCTCCTTTTGGTCTGAAATGTGATCAGATTCTGAAATAGTAGCAGCAGTAATTTTATTTTATGTATGTATTTCATATATATAAAAAAGTTACAGTGACACTTATATAAGCAGGGACAAACTTCCATTTAATCACAGCAAGATGTCCTCGCTTACTTCATACTTTCATATTCTTTTAAGCACTTCTAAACACAGTAAAATGGGTTTGAGGTTTGGAATAGGGACGATATAACAATATTGTGGATATCGTTTTGCTTGAACTAAATAATGACGGTACTGGGAATCTGGGACAGATTCCATCTATCATGATGACCAGCAAGTCTGGGCTATGTAAATGTCAGAAAAATGCACTGTCCACTGTTTTCAGATGCAGAAAGTCACATTTGCATTTTCTTTTATTTGGAGTTCCATGTCCTGTGTCAGCCCTGAAATGCTGTCTGTCTTTAAAACCCTCCTTTCAGCACTTTTCCTGTTTTTCTGTGCTCAGGCAAAAACAGATAAACCACTGCTTTTCACTAAGGGTGAACAATTTGGGGAAAATATCAAATTGCGATTTTAAAACTGTGACTACTTTCTACAAGTGAAGGGTCAGCCCTGTTATTTTGGCCAAAAAAAAAAACCTAGAAAATTCACTTGTTCTCGCTTGAGTCTTGAACACTGAACATACTGTGCAAGACTGTCAGTGAGCTGTGGTTGTGTAGTATGCAGCACACAGGTATTTGATTGCTTTTGACTGGTGTAACTCATTGACAATATAAAAATGATTAAAACTTTCAGTCCAGCCATTCACACACTGAAAAATGAACACAGACTCTTTATTAGCCATTCAGAGTTATTTGATGTGAAATGCATCATTCTAGAGAAACTAATAGGCTGATTTCTTTTTAGGGGTGCTGATAGGAACCAGGGGTTGCGATGTCTACAACACAAAACAGTCATTTTTTTGTACCATCCAAAACCACCAGTGAACCTACAGTTCTGAGTTTTTATATGTAATGTTTGTAATGTTTATAACTTGTTTTCCCAGATTGTGGCATTTTCTTTACGACTTTCTTGAAATCTTACAGTTTGATTATGCAGAAATTGAGAAATTTGTTGAATTCCCCTTCAAAGCCTAACAATAATACTAGGCTGTGATAACGGTAGCATATGAGCTAACTTAACACGATAAGCTGTAACCATATTATTAACAAAAATGATTTAAAACTTACAGCATTAACTGTGAAACCACAGCAGGAACAAAGTTAGAATAATGCACGTTTCTGAGCAGAAACACAAGCATGTTTATCTCCTCCTCCCCGCCATAAAACTGAAGAACACGGAACAAAATAGTTCAAATCAAAACAAGCTGTCAGGTTTGTTAGACATTCTTTAAAACACAAAGTAACTGCACTTAGGGGGCGTCCATTAACCTTAAACTTAAATGTAATCTGATACTGCAATATATTTGGAAAATACTGACTTTTTTAATACTGCGCATCACTACTGACCAACTCTATTCAAAATCATTTTCATTTCTTTACATCCAGGTATGACATTTCCATCTAAGCTGAGATGAAAGGATGCAAAATCATTTAAAGTATGACACAAATACAGCACACCAATATAGGGCAGCGATAACAGCAGCAGCGGCTATTTTTATGCCTGCATATCACTGATGGGATATAGAAGAGAAAATGTCTGCACTTGAGAAAGCAAAAATAAGCGACTTGTGCAACAACAGCGTTTGCATTTCCTGTAGTGAGCCCATCTACGGCCTGTCCGACATGCCCGTCCAAGCCACTCAGCTAACCAGCACTGAAGAAATAGCAATTAATATTACAGAATCAGCATTTGGCTTAACATAAGCACACAGCAAAGGCTGTATTACCCCGGACAGCTAAACGCCTTTAATGAATTCACATGTAAAGGGAAAAACTGTGCTAATGCCAAGTTCAACAATAGGCCGATTGTGCAACATCTCACATCTTCACACTACAGCGTCACTTCTTGAAAAGCCTGTTCTGAGCAGCCATTCCTGAAGCTTTTAACATAGCAAGCTGTCAGAACAGGTTAAAACCCCTGACATTTTGACACTCTTGATACACACTGTATTACCTCTCGGGCGATAAATCTGCCTCACCAAACTCTGAACAACTCTAAAAGAGCTGAATTTCTCAGTCTTTGTAACAAAACGGTTGGATGTGGTCTGTAAACGCTCTTAAAATTTCACCGTCCTCTCTTCAGTCCCCACTGAAACTAAACTGCCCAGTTTTTACTTGCTGTTTTGGTGATACCAAGAGAACCAAAGCACGTACATTACAGCCACCTATTCAGCCCTTTCCTCAGTAGGCTTCCTACAAGTCATCTGGCAGTCCATTCACTTTTGTTCATAAAAGTTCAGCTTTCATGAACAGCAACAAAATCAGAGTCCCAACGAGCATCATTTCATTAAGGCAGTCACTGTAACACCCAGCTCTTAGACTATTTGACGAATAACTACAACAAAATGTTTCCTGAACAAACAGAAGCAGCATCTAGAGCTGGCTAACTTTAGATCGAGGATCATTCAAGAGTAGCCTGTTACAACTTAACACTAAGAAGATGAAGCCGGCCTTTCGCATCTGAAGCCTGCTAACCTTAACTACCGGTCACTCAACTACAAGGAAAAAGCACTGGGAAGACTCTGACAAACTGGTTTCATATCGTGTTTGCTAGCTGACCCATAATAATAACAAATAAAAAGAAGAAGAAGTAAAACATTTACCTCAGTCGTTCAGTGGGTTAGCAAGCTTACTGCTAGCTACATTAGCGTTACCAACTGCAGTAGCGTTGCTAAGGTTAGTTGGCTGGCTAGCTCATTTAAAACTGTTCACTCACATTACAAACTCTGTCAAATATCCTAACTGACTCAAATGTTATTTAAACGGAAACAACTGCTCTAAACATTTGGCAGCGTATTTAGCCACATTATACCAACTGTAAAAGGCGCTTTATTGTATGTAAGTTACACTGTAAATCTGCCTTTGCCTATCAACTGCCAAAGAGAAAATCGTTAGCTAGCTGGCTATTTCAGTTATTCTGCGACATTTAACATTACGAACTGTTGTTAATGGAAATAAATAAATACAAATGAATAAGCAGTTTTATTACTGCTGGCCTAGTCGGATAATAAAAGCTCGCTAGCTGTAGATATTTCTGAAAAAAAAATACGCTGGGAAGCTAACGCTAGCATGCCTCTTAGAAATATAGCTAACATGCTAGCTTCAGCATTAAAAACACCGCTAGCCGAGTAGCCAGTTAACAAGTACACAGCAGTTTGGAGCGTGAGGGCGAAACATTAAGGCAAAATTTAGCTGTTAATCAAAATAAGAATAAATTACCTTGTGAATTCGTTTCAACGCCATTCTGTGTTTGTGTGGTTGGCGATAGTTCGGGGGAGTGTTGGCCGGAGAGCTGCTCTGCTGTGCCGGCTAGCTTAGCTTCTCGTTCGCTAGCCAAGCAATGCGGACAGTAAACTAAGCTAAGCTAAACTATCGGACTGAACGCCAATCCGATTAAATGTATCCGGCTAACGATCAAGTAGAGGACAGTGACGGGTTAATCATAAAACGAGGCTCCTAATTAACCGCGGTGAACCGTTCAATAGTCGCTAAATGTGCGTTGTTCGTGAAGAAACCGAAAGTTGGCAGGTCCGTCCAACCCCGGGCCGACAGTCTGTGTGAATCTGCTTTCTCTCTCTCCACAAAATGTCTCCTCTTGGCGGAGCTACACACACCCAGACCACCAGCACCACCTCCCAGCAGCGAGCGGGAGGAATAAAGTCTGTTTGTGCAGGACGATGTTTTACGTATGGAAGCTCATTTCCTCCAGGGAGAGGAGAAAAACTCGGGGTTCTCTTCTGGTTCTTACGGAAGTCCAAAGAGGCCGTGAGGCAGTTATAATTTTCTGGACCGTTATCTTGAGATCGTGACTGAATTGACTTGTGATGTCATGGTAACAAAATGTGCTTTCTCGAGATCACAACATAACAGCTATATGTTAATAAACACAAAAGGTAGGCTGTAGTGGTGCTTAAAGAGCCCTGCTGGCGACATCCGTATAAATAAAAACAGTGCATGGCCACTCCGTATTAAGGCATGAGAACGAGATCCTACTTAGTGTGGGAACGAGATAATTATGTCATGGCCACGTCTTAGTAAGGCATGGGAACGAGATCATGCCTCGTTAAGCTGTGGTCAAGATTCAGTCGTGGCCATATTAGGATCTTGTACGCTTGCCTAAGCTGTGGCCACAACTCCATTATCTCGTTGCCACGCCTTACTAAGCCGTGGCCGTGCATTGTTTTTATTTATCCGTCACCAGCAGGGCTCCATAGGTGCTTATAGTTTCATTTACTGGAAAGTCCGTAAAGTTGATGCTTTCACTTTTGTATTCCACGAAATGTTTCAATGAACCACACACACACACACACACACACACACACACACACTGTATACAGATATATTTGATACATATTGTCCATTTTATCAGACCCACTTACCGTATACAACACTGGTCAACAGTCAGAGACCACCCTTATTTAATTTCCAGTCAAAAAGGCCATTCAAGTTATTCGTTTTTAGGAGCTTTTTCAGAGGACATTAGATATAAGATGATAAATATGCATAAGGAAGAGTAAATTTAAAGAAAGACAGTAAAAAAAAAAAAACAAAAAAACAGGAGTTTCCCAAACTGGAGTTCAAAAATGTATTAAAAGATACAGAGAAAATGGGATGTTTAACAACCATGAAGGACATGGTAGACCACCAAAACGGAAGCTTTCATCTTTGAGAGAGAGGAGAAAATCAAGCTCCACTCTTGCTCTAGAAGTGAAAAAATCCACAGGTGTTTCTGTCCATCCTTCCACTGTGAGAAGAACTCAACACTATGAGTCTGAAAGGACGTGTAGCTGTCAAGAAGCTCTTACTGAGAAAAGGATAAAAAAAGAAGAACAAAGAAGCTGCTGGTGTTCTCAGTACAATGGACTGACCACCTTAGAGTCCAGACCTCATCGTTACACACACATATATATATATATATATATATATATATATATATACATACACACTCATAATTACTTTCATTTATTGCTGTACTGGTATGGGTGTTGCCAAGTGAATGTTGCTGAGTAAACTTATTGTCATATGACTGACAGTCTGGTTTCACTTTATGCTGACCAATAGGAACAGCTGAGTTGGATCACAGGTACATATATCCTCTTCAAAGTGAATCTGAATGAGAAACGTGTACTGAGGAGACAAACCGCACTGCTGAAACACTCCCGGACTTGTCAAACATGTCAGTGTATATTTATATCCTCACTGCTGTGATCATTGCTGGTAAGTTGAACTGCATCATCTCTTTATGTGAAATAGTGAAATAAACTAAAAAAATGGGAATTATATCCACGTCCAGTGGACTTTTTTGTTGTAATGTAGAGCAGAGGGCTCAGGAATTGTTTACTGGTAAATGTACCTTCTGAAACAGGTGCGTTCGTAGAAGGCGAAAGTGAAAGCATCCAGTTCCCAGTAAAAGAAGTTGAGGGTAAGACATTATTAACCCACAGTTTAACCCTTTTTTGCATTATACACATCCACACAAGCTATAATAGGAAAAATAGAAACAGAATAGGAGTTAAAGTTGTAAATCTTGTACTTTTCCATGACTTGATTCAGTTATGATTCTTTAGGACTCTTTCAGCGCCGTTTAGTCTTTTAGGTCGGTACAATCAGGGCTGTGTCCTGTATTTTACTGTATTTTTTCCTTAAGGTCCACTTGTGCTTGTGGCTTTATGTATTAGTCATCATTGATTTTTGACCATTTTCCAGCCTCTCATTACCCCTTAGAATTGTTTTTATGTCACTGTGCCTTTAAAACAGGAATATGTAAATGACCCCTGTTTTGACTGACTGTCCTGTATTGTGCCTCATTCAAAAAGCAGTCTGGGCTGAAGCTTATAACCTCAGTGTGTATGGACAGGGCTAAACTGGTAAAGGGTGAACAGCTGGCTATACAGTCGTATACAAAGTTTAGGCGCCCCTGGTCAAATTACAGTTCCAAATTTGTGTCATTGATTTTCTGAGTGAAAATATAATTGGAGAAAAATAAAACCTTAAAATGTGGCCATAGAGCAACTTAGTTTTACTTCAAAAAACTTTTGTGCATATGACTGTGTTCAAGTTAGTTGATGTACTAATTAGAAATAATCAAGTTCATGTACTAGTTAAAATAGGTTTTTGTGACATCACAAAATGAATAATCTCAAAATGGGCTTTTCTTGCAGCTTTGTGTGTTTATATGGACAGTGAACATTACATGTTAAAACTGCATCAAACTCTTTTATTTAAGAAATAGAGTACAATTCAGTTTTCCATGAAATGGGTCCTTTAAGAGGATAAGCAGTCACTTTGAATGTCTTTTTATGTATTTCATTTGTGTCAATAATGGCAGAATGCCAGAAAAAATCCTATAAAGACTTCACTGATGACTTCACTTCCAATAAAAGCTAAGATGTTAAACACATCAACATGTATTTAATTTGTATTTATTTAATCTCTATACATACAGAGTATCTACTTAAGCTCTTATTTTGTTATCTTACCATTTATTAATATTTTTTTTGAATGGCGTGTTAATTTCATTTCACACATGCATACAAAATATTATGACTGAGTTGGGGGGCCCTGCAAGTAGGAGGGCCTTAGGAGCCCCGTGTTTAGAAATGGCCATGTGTACAATTCAAATCCAGCATCTACTCAAGCACTGGTGGAATCAGTGGTGTAACCACAATTTCAGTTATTCACAGATTAAGGGGGCCCGCTAGCCAGCATTATGTCCCAGAGACATCGTTATAGTGAGAATGACAACCACCAACTAGCCATTGTAGCTAAACTGTTAGAAAATGACCCACCTCATTACCATAATGAGAAGGACACTTTTTAATATTAAACACAAAACGTGAATGCTTATATAATCCTGTCCCACTTTCTGAGTGCAATACTCTTGAAATAGTATTAATGTTGGTACGCTATATTTCTTAAACTGCCGCTTTGTAATGGTAATGAACACTGTCCAGTAGTGATGTTGCCTGCCCTAAAATGACGGCACTGTTGACGTGCCTGGCTGGACCAGACGCTGCATCTAGGTATGTATATCTATGTGTAGCACCTGCCGCTTGGTGCTTGGGTAGCCACACAGATCACCACAACTTTGCATTTTACACATTTGTCTCACAACCGTGTGATTTTGAATGAAATCAAAATTTTAAAAGTCTGTTCTGTAGACCAAAAGCTAGCCTGGTTACTTTCTTCATCTCCATTTCACTGACTTTTCTGTTTTGCCCTGTAATTTTACTGATCAATTATCATTAAGGGGCCATATAATAGACACTTCCTTGCTTATCTGAAATAAAAGAGTTTGATGTTAGGATTGTAAAAATTCCTAAACATACTGTTCAGTCCCCACTCCATTTTATTTCTATATGGAAACTAAACTGCAAAAACAGCCTTATCATGACTGTGATGTCACATCTATCCGAACACTCATTCAGCATGTCAGGAAACAAATGGCTCATTGTAGCTCTCCAAAGGATCCACACATTCAGAAAGACCAGCTGAAGGTTTTTAGTCCCAACTTAACAGTACCATGCAAATATGCTGAACAACATCTAGATAGGCCAGATGCATTTTGGAAACAAGTGCTGTGGACTGATTAAGTAAAGAAGGGAACATTTGGCTACAATCACCAAAGGTGAGATTACAGATAAAAGAAACAGCATTTGATGAAAGGAACACCTTGCCCATGAGGGTGGATCTATTATGCTTTGGGGTTGTATGGCAGCCAGTGGCAGAGAAAACTTTGTGGGGATAGAAGGAGGAAGGGATTCAACTAAATATCAACAAATCCTGGAAGCAAATGCCCCACAGTCATTGAAGAAACAGAAGAATAAAGGAGATTAGATATTACAACAAAACAATGATCCAAAACATTCCCTCAAAATCCATACTTAAAGAAATAAAAGATTAAGATTTTGGAATGTCCTCTATGGCAACCAGACTTATAGTATGAAAACCTCTGGGTAGATCTCAAACATGATATGCATGCAAAACAACCTATGTATATTTCTGAACTAGAAACATTCTGAAAGGAAATGTGGGAAAAAAAATCCCAAATAAAGAACACAAAAAGACATTAATTATTAGATATTAGTTATGGAAAGATACTAGTTAGCTGGCTATGAGTAATATTTGGACATGAGTAATGTTTGTATGTGTCACTTTTTATGTTTTAGATTTTTCCAAAATATTAAATTCAGCAAATAAACAATAAATGTGTATTAAAAATTGCAGAAATATGTCATATTTAAGTTTGTTCCATGCAGAAGTAGTGTTACATTTATAGATAATCAAATCAATGCCAACCTTTGCATACAACTCTATGTATTTTAGTTATATTGCTGCTGTAGTGCTCAGTTAACAGAGACATATTGTTATTATTGAAGAATGTTTTCAGAAAAGACTGGAGGCGGGACTCAACACGATATGCTTCACTGAAGGTATTGCATCAGATTCTGAAAAGATATCCAATGTAACGATGCATTTCAGCAATGATTAAAAACAAATATTGCAAGTCAAAACCTTATAACTTCATTTTTGTGTTTGATGTTTTTACATCACAAGCGCTGCTGGCCTTGTGTGAACGTTTCATGATCAATGGTCCAATAGAAATGGTCTAAAATGACCTAGAATTAAAGTAGGAGATACATGGTTTTATTATGTTAGTGACAATATAATTGTTAGAAAAAGGA